ATACTTAGAAGCTCCTTATATCATTGTTGACCTTCAGAGGTCAGAGGTTAAATGTGAAGTTATATTTTAAATCTTCATACCCTACTTTGACAACACATTAAGAATAAATGTTTCTAAGGCTTTTTGCCAATTTTCAACCAACAAATCATTATGTTGACCTCAAAGACCTTGGTGGATCTAAGCCAAAACATAATGGATTGCTAACATGAGCCCACTCTACACCTCTACAAAGTTTTATTAAAATTAATTCAAAACATTTCAGGCTATTATGTTTACAGACAAAATGGCACGCACGCATGCAAATACAACCACAAACATAACCCCCTTGGCCGGGTTAATAAGAAGCAGAGGATGCTCGTGTTTTTTCTTTTAAATCTACTAATTTAAGAAGAAAAAAAAGAACAACAATATCAGGCTGGTTAAATTTCATATTTGAGAGAATTAGGTCCGATATCGAATTGCTTTCTTTGACAAAAAATTATCTGAGTGTGAGTCCCGACTCAGCAAAGCTCTGCCTTATAGTACAGTCTCATATTTTAGATTTGTGGTATAATTGTTTTTGGATTGAAAACTGTCTGTCAGCATGCTAACAAATACAAACCCACAAACTCACATAAAGGTTTAACACTGAAGGTTAATTCAAATCTATGTGCGTGCATATTTCAAAGTGGATTTTCTCCAGGAACGTGCATAATTATGAAAACCTCAATATTTCTTTGCTCATAGTACGCCACATACGGTTTGGACTAAATAAACAAAGGTTTCTTTAGTGCAGGATTTGCAGAAAAGGCAATAGCTACAATAAAATACAGAAATGTTCTACAAGAGGCTATTTCAGTTGCAGTAGGCAGAAATTTAAAAAGACAAAGTAAAGGTCTGCTGGCCTTCACTCTCTGCTCTAAGCCTGGCATATCCACACGCATGAAATCTCTCGGGGTTCTCACACCCCAGGAGACTGCAGCTCCTTAAGTTACTTTAAACGACAGCTCTAAAACAAACAACATATAAAAAGCATTCCAGCTCCAAGCAACACTGCAAACGCCCCACAACACACCTGAAGCTGCACAAATGAGTCACAGCCTCATTATTGTGACATAATCAGCACATGCTCATTAGCTGCCTCTTGTATAAGGAACACTTGTTTTGAAGACTGATGTCAAATGAGTCCGACTACAACAGATGCGCTTATTTTAAAAACATCAACGCTGCAAAGTTAGAAAACCAACAGCTTATATAGTAAGTGCTGCATCAATGATCTCTTATAAGTGCCATTACATTGACCCATGGTCTTGAAAAACAATCTCATTAGTGATAACAGTTCCTTGCTTTTTTGTAACTCGCTCACACTGTTATGATAGCTGGAAGTAACTTTTATAAAGACTGTGACTCTCATATTAGTAGCTATTACTTCTCTTTTGGTGATTAATGTGCAGCATATTAGGAGGTTACTCCTACACCCATTAATCTGGAATTAAACCATGATCCTTTGACAATCGAGTTAAATGCTGCAATCAAAACGGTTGGTGAAATCAGATGTAAACTAGGGCAG